CCTGCTTAGGGCTTAGGCGCCCCAGTGGCTAGAATAATGCAGAATCAACTGGTAATCAGGGTTTGACAGGCTTTAGGGCCTTTAGGGTTGAGATCAGGGTCTGGGATTGAAGTTTTGGGGCTGATAGGGTTTGCAGCTTGGAATTTGGGGATGAGAGCTTCGGGGCTTGTTTCAGGTCAGCATTTTGGGCGAAAGCCCCATGCGTCCATAAGGTTTGGGGATCTGGGGTTCAGAGCCACCCTACACCATGAACCCAATTCAGAGCCTTGGCTTTCGGGCTAGACGTTCCGGATGTGAGCTACGAACTGGTGAGCTGCTCAGGGCACATGTGCGCAACACCTGCGCTACCTGGGTGTATTCTTGAGACCTGTACTGCTGCCTCCAAAAAGAGGAAATGTGCACAGGTCTCTACGATTCTACTCCATTGCTGCTATACCTACTATTCATACTGTTACTGCAATTGCTACCTAAACCGTAAACCCCGAACAAGTGTTATGCCCCGTCCTTTGCTCGCTGCAGCAGATCGCATGCCCGGACATTGTCATTGATTGCCTGAGAACCAAGGCACGGAGTAATACTAGCAATAACACTAATACTCCTGATTGTAGTAAGAATAGTAAAGGAAATCATATATACCTACAATAAAAAATAAAAATCCATGATTTGTGGACGTGTCGTATTCGTCATGAGAATGCAACTTCGAAAGAACAGCCCTTAAGCCCACAGAATCATCCCGACAGTCCCTTTTGCTCGCTAGCAAACCCTAAACCCTAAACTGTACCTAAAACCGTTATCCCTGTATGACCCGAATATAACCCATCATACTATAGCAGCTTCCTTTTCATTTTCCATTATCCCTATATAGCCCCAATATATATCCTATAATCCCTATATAACCCTATATATCCCTTAGTAGTTTCCATTTCATTTTCCATTATCCCTATATAACCCCAATAGAACCCCTATTACATTATAGTAGTTTCCATTTTCTTTTCCATTATCCCTATATAACCCCAATATAACCCCATTTATCCTAAATCCTCAAGGAAAGCCTGCTTGTACTCCTTGTTCTCATCCTGGCGCTGTGTCTTTGACTCCTCAACTTGCTGATCCAGCTCCTGGGCTTGCTTTTTGGAGTTTGAGGTTCAGGATTTAAGGATTTAGGGTTTAGGGGCGGGCTTAGGTGGGTTTAGGGCTTGAGGTTTCATGGTTGAGGGGTTCTAGATTCTAGTACATGGTTTTGGCGAAAGTGGGTCTGCTCATGGGTATGTTTGTAGGGGTTGTTGTTGAGCATATACGATACGGATATTCATGGGGATGCAACCCTCTGCGTTTAGTACGGCTGTCGGGTCTGGCCGTCGGGTTCACTTCTCTGAGCCCTCCAGTGAACAGCGCTAGATTGAGAAATTGCAAGGGGCTCTTTGAAGGGAGTTTGGAAGATGTTTTACGATTCACGCTTAAAGATTGCGGCAGGATCGCTAAACGCTGATCGATGTGTCCCCATATACCCCAGAAGAACCGTTCTGAAGCTACCTCTACTTTGGGAAGCCCCTGTTCGAAAAAGTTGAGACCTCCATTTTGAAAGCGAACAAGGTCCTTGATCTTCTTCGTCATTGCCGTTATCTCCTTCGGCTGATGTGTGCGAATTTCTCAGCAGAGAGTTGCCCTTCAGCTCAATCGGGGTATGTAGGGGTCTTGAAGGATTTCGGGTTTCAATATTTTTGGACATTCCTCCGCATCAGCCAATGGCATCGCTCTAGGTTATCCAGAAAACGATGGGCACAAACGCAGGCAGCAACGGGAAGGCGTGAAGGCAACATGCTCCAGGCTGTTTAACCAAGTCCAAGGCTCAAGGCTTTCAAGGTTTGGGTCATGGGGTTTAACCTATAGGGCTTGTTTGTTTTGCGTTATGTTGTGGGTGTTGGGTTTAAGGCTGCAAAGTTTAGTGCTTGGGATGCGAGTAAATGCAATGTTTTTGAGTGTCGGTTTGGGGTTCAGGGGGTCCATGTTAAGCTGGCCCTGAGGGGGCCTCGACTTCAAGACCGCTTGATCAGAAAATCTCAGGTCTACATTGCGATGGGAAGTTCTCAAAACCCGGATCCTCCAAGTGGCTCCAAAATACGTTTAGGGTTTAGGGTTTAGGATAATGAGACCCTAAACCCTTAGCCTTAAGGACCCAGGCAACAGACTCATAGTTTTCTGCTTGGTTGCTGAGAATTTCAAGTATGTGGAATCAGTCATCAGACCTGCAGTGAAACCAACAGTTATCCCGAGAAACCTCCAAATAGAACCACCCATTTTGCGAACTGTTGTAACCCTAAAGCCTACAAGCCCTAGAAACCCTAAAGCATAAAACCGTCTGAAACCTAAACCTCTTGACAAGATTCCTAGGAGCTAAACCCTGGAACTCGTATAATAAGTCCTCTTCCACCTGCGCCTTGTCCGACTTCACCTGCTTGTCATCGGGTTGCGTGTTTAAATTGTTCGCGGATCTCCTCCCCCAATCTTCCGCCTTACTTAGCTTTGAAAAGCCCTCATTATCCCAGGGTAACCCCAAATTATGGGGAACACTAGGTGGGGTGTAGTACAAGAGGGTAGTAGGGGAACCCATGAGTTTACAGGTCCTGCGCAAATGGAGACGTGTAGGGGTTAGGGTTAAGACCTCCTTCTTCGTTGCGCCGCGCCTCGTCCATGATCTTGGACAAGTCCTGGATCGAAGCAGAGCCCCAAGATTTTTGAGCCTAAGCCCTAAATCCCTAAACCCTTAAACCCTGTAAATTTCAAAGCCCTAAACTCTAAAACCCTAAATCCCTGAACCCGGACTTTTGATTTAAGGTCGAAGGCTGCCTACTGCCAATGGCAGAGTACATGAGATCACTGCAGCAATGGAGAATCAACTGGAGAAGAAGATGGCAAATAAAATGGAAACTCTATAGGTCCTCTTAAAGGGGTATATAGGGGTTATAATGGAGAATCGAGAGGAAAAGGAATGGAACATGAAATGGAAACGTTCCATAACCATTATCCCAATATATCCACATTATGAAAATATACCATACTAGTTTCCATGTTATTTCATGTATCCCCATATAATATCCTATAATACATTAGCCCAAGTTAACCCTACATGGCCTCGGATTCCTGCTTCAGGCTGCGAAGGTTGTCCTCCGAACTCCTGCGTTCGGCCTGGCGGATGGAAGAGCAATGGGTGAAGAGAGATCGAATCCAGTGGGGTTGGGGCTTGTGGAGATTTAGGGTCTATAGGGCTTTTAAGTTTTTAGTGCTGAGGGTTTATAAGGGTTTAGGGTTCATAAGGGTTTAGAGCTTATAACGGACCAGGGCCTAGGGCTTAGGGCTTTGGATTGAAGCCTCCGCGTTCTACATGCATGGGTATACACGGCGTGCGAATGTCGATGCGTGACACTAAGGTCCTCCATGAGACCCTATGACCTGTGAGTACTCGTGAAGCGGCATGAGGACCCCTGCGTCGCATGAGGACACCTAAGCCCTTAACTTATTTTCGACTGTGTTGTATTGGTGCTCACCAAGATCGTACTACCCACCCTGACGCACGCCCTTCTGCTCGCTTAGGACTTCGGGGTAGACACGTCGGCAATTATCCTCTTCCCGCTTGGTTGGCAAGAGCTGCAGGTTCAGGTTTGTGACTTGGACAATATGGGCCGAAGTTCCTTTGGGCTTACAATATGTTGGAGATTTGTCTATCTTTTGCCTTGCCATTTCACGGACTGCACGCCTGGTTTGGTGGCTAGCTTTCTGGTTCGTCTGACACTGGAAATCTTGAGCACTAGCAGTATTTCATGTCCCTTTACCCATGTTGACACACGCCTGGCCAGCACCTGGAGGCATTGAAATGAAGTGGGCTCTATAGATGTAGCAGGCGGCCCACCCAAAGTAATCCTCACTCCTTCCTAGGCCAACTCCTACACCTTAAAACCCGAAACCCCCAAATGCAAGCACTCCAAGTATCCGGCTATTATATACGTCCTCAAGGCACCGGCCACTACTACATGCTATTACGATTGATAGAATAAAAGTGCAGGTACCCAAGTATTTGGTTAATTCGCCCCTCCGGGAATGAATTGAGAATGCGACTTGCTCTGAAGACAACCCGTACATCAGCTATGCTGGACTGGCATCTTCTACCTGACTGAAGCCTTAAACCCTAGACCCTAATCCCTAAACCCTAATGGCCAAACCCTTATCTCAAACAAAACCAGATGCCGAAGCTCTGCGGAGCTGTAAGGAATACAGGCCGCCAGCATTGCACTTGGCGAGTCTTCGGGGGATGACTGTTAAATTCTACCTTCCGTATTAGTGTTTAGGGTGATGCAGGACACCAAGCCCTCCTTCCTCAAGCTTTACTCACGCTGACTGCTGGGTCGGAGTCAGCGTAGCTGCGACGTTTGAGAGAGACTGCCGGCGGTCGCTCAGGATCAGGATACTCATATACAATCTTTTATCTACATGTGTATGTGTATATATATATATATGAGGCGGCGTCAAAATTACTTGTTTGTTCTCTCTTGGTTTCTGAATTAGGGCGTCCCCTATCGATTTCCACGTTTTGGGGATCTTCTCTGAACCCTCGCTTAAATGAAATAAGCC